GTAATTGATTATAATGAAATCCTAATCTGTTTGTATGAGTGTGTTGCTTTAATTGCATTTCTATCTGTTTGTCATTTAATGATCTGTTCATGTTTTGACTTCGAATTGCAAATTGAAGGCCTTATCGGCGACCGAATCAGAAATTGATTAGTGTTATATGCTAATTAGGATTTATATGATTTTATGATAGGTTTAATTATAATTTGATTTGGAATGATTAAATTAGATTAAATAATGTTAAACTAATTGAACCTAGGTAATTATATATGGCCCAATGGCTATATTAGTGCACTGCTTCTTGCCCAAAAGAACCTCCAAGTTAATACCAGGTCTGGCCCTCGAAGACCCACTCAAACTTCTCACAGAACCTCGTATATGAGTCTGACCACCTACTTTTAGTGTCTCATCATTACACCCCTACACCCCTGTTGTAATCTTCCTTTTCCTTTCATCATTGAGAGAGAGACTAACCTTGTTTTACACACATAGATTTGTAGAGAGTTGGTTGGCCTCGGAAAAAAGATTGAATATGGAGTTTGCTTATATTGAATTTTAAGTTGTTTAAGGTATCTAAAGATTTAGGTCTTTTATCATTTTTAGGAAGGAAAGATTGGAAGAAATCAATACTTCTCATAGTTTTTTTATTTTTATTTTAATAAATGAACTAACTAATAGATCTTTCTTTAAGCATAAATCATTTTTATTTTTTTTATGTTTTTAATTGACATGATTTTCTATATTAGTGGGATGTTTAAATTTTTAAATTTAAATTTAAAGGATAATTAGAATTTTTTTTTTTTTTCCCCTTAGTTGGGTTAACCATGAAAGTTTTTTAATTATTTAAAAATATAAAAATTCTAAAAAATCATGTTGAGAATTTGGAACTCTCACAACCCTTGTGGTTAAAACCTCCCTTTGCTTATATAATATATAGATAGATATAAATAGACACGAGAATATAAGATTCACTTTACATAAGTGAAACAACTCACTTTTTTATTCTTCTCCCGGTATAGGATTATAAAATAAATCATATCATAGACTAATTAGAGTTTTTATTTTAAAATTTAAACTGTGTTAAACTGAACTATACACAACACTACAATATTAAATGCAAGTATAAGATTTACTTTATATAAGTGAAACAATTCACTTTTTCTTTATTCTCCCGATGTGATGAGATTATAAAATAAATCATAAACTAATTATAGTTTTATTTTTATATGGTTAAATAAAAGTTAACCAATGGAAAAAAAAAATTTAATTGTGTAAAATTAAGAAAATCAATGGGTGTTTCGGAAGAGTTTTTTTTTTTTTTTTTAGTTTTTTGCTAAAAGACAAAATAGGTTAAAAAAACCAAAAAAAAAAATAAATCCAGACAAAATATCACATCAAACCCATAATCATTTCATTTTTTTTCTCACAAACATCACATCCAACTACAAAAAAATCAACTATCTTCCAAAACACAAAAAAAAATTTCCTCCACAAATAATCAAAAACTAAAAAAACCTACTAAAATAACAACTTCCGAAACACCCACTCAATATAATAAATCGTGGTTAAACTGAAAAACTAGTCAAACCAAAAACGGTTAAGCCTAATTGGTTAGGTCAAATGACCAACTAATTTATACAAAGATTAATTAATTAAAATTTTTAAATTTTATTTTAATTTTAAAATGTAAAATTGGAGTATAAGATTCATTTTATATGATTAAAACAACTCATTTTTTCTTTCTTCTCCTGATGTGAAATTATAAAATAAATCATAGTCAAAAGACCAACCAACTTATACATAAAAATTAATTAATTAAATCTTTTACATTTTATTTTAAAATTTAAACTATATTAAATTGAAACATACACAACACTATAATATTAAATAAGAATATAAGATTCAATTTATATAAATGAAACAACTCATTTTTTCTTTTTCTTTTTTTCGATGTGAAATTATCAAATAACTCATAAACTAATTAAAGTTACATTTTTATATTCTTAAATGAAAGCGAAGAGCATCTCTAATGCATTGCTATAATAGCTGCTAAAGTCATAATATGACAGTTTGGGCAAAAAATAGCTTCTTGAATAGCATGCTATAGCAGTTGCCAAATTTGGCGGCTGCCAAATCTATTGCCAAATTTGGCACCAACTTTGGCAGATGCCAAATGTGCCAACTCACCAAAAATCAACTGTTTTTCTTCCTTCCCTCCCTCATCATTCCCAGCAAAACAAAGTTAATTTTTTGTAAAACCAAATTCACCAAATTTTTTAAAACAAGAATTTTTTAAAACATAAATTATTTCAACAACCAAACCCTTCACACACAAAAATAAATAAATAAATAAATAAAATAAAATAAAATAAAATAAAAATCACAAACAACAACAACAATAATTAAAAAATTTCAATACAAACAAGCAATTTCAAACTAATTTTAAATAATAAATATCAGGAATTTCTGGTGATTGATGAATTTGAGACGAGGGTTTCGATTTCTGCCATCCACAAAGAGGGCTCGAATAGTGCTCCTTGATGCGATCTGCGAAATGGGGGAGAATGATCTACGATCTTGGATCTCATGTTTGTTTTCATTTCTTTGTGTTATGTGAAGAGGGATTTTGAGAGAGAGAGAGAGAGAGAGGGAGAAAGGGAGAACGATCTGTGAAAAAATGTGAAAAGAAATGAGTTCTCTCACTGTGAAGAAATGAGAGAAGAAATGAGGGCATGAAAAAGATTAAGAGAGAAAGAAAGTGTGGTTTGATCAAATAGGATGTGATGGCACCCGTTGATATAATCCAACGGTTAGAAAAATAAGTGGTTGTGAAGGTTTTAACTTTTTAAGTGGTCTGATCAAATAGCGTGATTATTATTATTATTTTTAATTTTTTAATTTTTTTTATATAATTGCCAAAAAAATTATCTAAAATAAAAAAGTTATATATATCATTTTTTTTCTCCTCTTTTTAATTTCATTTTAAATATAATTGCCAAAATTTATATATATATATATATATATATCTGAATTTTAATTTTTTTTATTTTTTATATTTGTCTAGTTGGTGGGTAATTAGTGATTGTTTATTTTTTATGTGTAGTTAAAAAAAATTTATTAAATATGTAGTGATATGTTTTTTGGTGGGGTGAATTATATTTATTTATTTTTTTTCAAATTTTCAATTTTTTTCATTTTTTATATTTGCCTAGTTGGGAATAATAAAAATATATAATTTTTTTTACAAACAGGTAAAAAAAATGTCACAAAAGACAAAAAATAAACAAAAATAAAATTACAAAAAAACTTATATCCAAACAATACCTACAAATTTGGAGGAAAAGTTGGTTGAGATTTGCCAAAATAGCAAATGGCTATTGGAGCATTATTGCTATAATTTGACAAAATAATACCATTCATTGCCAAATTATAACAATAGCAATAGTATTATAGCAACAATGGTTGGAGATGAACAATGAAATACAATGGTTGGAGATAACCAATGAAAATCCAAACAATACCTACAAATTTGGAGGGAAAGTTGGTTAAGATTTGCCAAAATAGCAAATGGCTATTGGAGCATTATTGCTATAATTTGACAAAATAATACCATTCATTGCCAAATTATAACAATAGCAATAGTATTATAGCAACAATGGTTGGAGATGAACAATGAAATTTTTTTTAATTTTTTAAAATTTGAAAAATTTTAAAAATTAATATAAGACTTTATAACTCTTACTAGTCTTCTCGTTAAAAATCTCATTTTCCTTATATAATAAAATTGTCATGATCTTATTGTCCAAATTTTTAGGAAAGGGTGTTTTGGTGTTATGAGTTTATCACTCATTGTAATAACTGAACCCATCCAATTCTACAAAAATCACCTAAGCATAGCCACAGAAAAAAAAAATAAAAAAATCCCATTTTCCACAAATTAAAACATATCATCATGCCTGAATATTTGTCTATATATATATATATATATATGTGTGTGTGTGATGAAGATCGATGTTAAAAAAAATAAAAAAAATAAAAAAATCCCTATCCTATGACTAGTGGATGAGGGTTATAACTCGTAGTTGGGAAAGAAATGATTGCTAGAAATGTTCCAAAATACTATATGCTATCACGTGTGTGGCATTCCATATCTTTCAAAGCCAATGTCCAGTTGTTTTCGCCAACTGTCTGATTGTAACTCAAGCTGTGCACTAATTCCCTAATTCTCATCTTACAAATACACTAGAACAATATGATAGCATTTTTTTTAGAATCAAAATACAGATGTATATATATATATATATTTTTTTTTTTTTTTGATCGGCGAAAAAAATCTTTATTGATAGACAACATACAAGGTATGGAATAGTACATCAATAAAGAGGAGCTTGGAGCTAAGACAAAGCTCCAAGCGCCAGCTGTATATATATATATATATATATAATAAGACACATAGGAATTTAACAATCCTTTCACACTGAAAGTAAGCCCAAAAATAAAAAATTGTCCCCGACAAATTAACCACCATAAAAGATATCAAAATCTCTCCTTACAAGTCAACAAAGCCTAATAATTTTGCCCAAGCCGCTGACCAAGCCAAATCCAACAATCACTAACTATAACTCCTATAATGAGAAAGAAATAAATTAACCACCAAGGATATTAAAAATTAAGGTCTAATTTGTTACCAAATCAATTCTAAGATTTTTATTTTTGAAATTTCTCTAAAAACAAATATATTCATATCTTAGCCACCCCAGTTCTGTCCCTGATATGGTAGAAAACAAGCTAGTCTAGACACAATGAGTTTTTAGTAGGTTGGTTGGAGGTTAAAACCGCATTTTTTTAAAAATATTCAAAATTTGTAATTTTAAATTTCAAAATTCACTCATAATGATGTAATGATAAAGTTAAGCTTTATATTATTAAGTGTATAACAAATCAAAAATTAACACATATCATATCACATCATTAATAGTCAAATTATGAAATTTTTTTCCTAGTTCCAAACATTTTCCCTTTCTTTTTTTTTTTTTTTTTTTATACCGGAAATCCTAAACTCTTGCACTGTTCAGTAGTTAGCTCTCCTATTTGCAACAGTTCCGTCCACTGTCAAATGTTTTCCTAGTTCTAGTTTGTCCATAGTCAAATTATGCATACACATTGCATCCAATCCAACTAACATTGGGAAAATATATATATATATTTATATTGTGATCCAACTTCAACTGCTTTCTGGAAGCATAAAAGCAAATAATCTGTAATAGAGCTCACATTCTTTCAAAACAATGCTCAAGGTATGTTTTTTGTTCAAAAGATCATGTTTAGTACCTAATACCAAAAAAAGCAAACAGCAAAATCATTAAAACCGTCCTAAAGAAGAGGAGGAAGAACAAGATATACACAAGTCAATTACAGGCCAAAGACTAAAGTCCTGAAGAGCACTGAAAACATCATCACAGCCATGAAAAGAATCAGCCGTGATGCATTTCACTTCATAGCATAAAGTCGCATGTTCCTTCAAACTTTTGAAATAGAAGAAAATTAGAAACACCTATCAGCACCCAAATTCATCATTAAAATGACTGCTTAAAGGTACAGATTTGAAAATTTTTACCTCGACTTTGTTGCTCAATGGAAAGAGCCTACTGTTCATCAGAACAATCGAATTGCTCATCACCATTCTCTCTCTCTCTCTCTCTCTCTCTCTCTCTCTCTCTCTCTCTATATATATATATATATATATGTATATGAAAAAAAGACTTTTGCATCAACAGCACTAGCACAGGTTTCTATTCCTTTTGCCCAGGTTTTCGAAAAATGTTTGACTTGTATGTGTTAAACATATACCTACTGTTCATCCTTCACTAACAATAAAAATTTAGTGGCTAATCAAGCTTAACATGAAATAAGAAACTCAATAAGTATTCGTCCAGATCTTCTGTAGTGTATTGTCTGTAGTGCCTTAACGCGATGTCATTTTGGAGATATGGAAGGGAAGGAGAGGGAAGAAAATGGGGAAAACCACAGAAGCACTACATACAATGCACTAGAGGATCCAGATTCAAACTTTTTAGAGTTGATTTTGGCATGCATATATATTTTGGAAAAGGAACTTAAAAAACATGGAGCTATGAAAGTAGCTTAGCTAAAAACAAACTCCAAGCTATGGGTAGGTAAAAGTCACCTGCTACTGCATATGCAAAGAAACAAAAAGAGAAATCAACCCACTTCAGCAAGCAAATCTATGACAACGAGAGAGAGCACGCTTGTAAACAGTCATGCTCGATGCATGAATGCAGACTAGCGTGCTCTCTCTCGTTGTCAGGCAATGGTATGCCAATGTTTTGGTGATTATCTGCAACAAAGATTAAAAAAATCATCAGTAAGAAACAACTTAAGAATGATCAAATTGAACAACTTAATTGATTGCTGGTTTTTTTTCTTACCAAAAATATGATACAATGAAAAGAATTCTACTCCTATAACAGAACTCTGAATATTCCTCCCCTCCTCCTTTGTCTTGGCGGATAAGGGGGTCCAACCACCTGCAAGTTTATAGATGAGTATTTTAAATTCGAAATGCAGAGATGGATCATCAACAATCTAGTTCTGCCTATGACAAGAACATGGGGAAAAAAAAGAAGAAATTAAGACTGCATTTGGATCTTAAATTTGTGAAAAGTGTATGAGTTATAGGTTAAATTTGTTCACATTTCCTTTCTCATTTCTTTTTCCTCCATAAATCATGGTTCTAAGCACGGTATGGGATAACGTGATAACATCGACCGCAGAATATCGGCATCAATAGTATTGGCCGGTACGTATCATGCATCGAGCGTTGTGGCCGTGAAATTTTTTAACCATTTTTACAGGAGTATCAGCCTGTCACAATGAGTATCGGTCCATCGGGATGAGTATTAGTTCGTCACGACTTGTGTAATAACTTGAAAAACGGTTACAACCCATTATGTAACGGAACCAGGCGATACGGCTGCAATTTTCGTTCATACCGCAATACCGGTGGTTATCCGTAACGGGACCTGATTTTTCTGATATGAACCGGCCAATATGCTACGTACCAGCCTTTTTTTGAATATGCCATAAATCTAATTAAAAGAAAACACTGAATTTCAACATAAAAAGAAGCAAGAAATTAACCGTTGATTCCAAGAAATCAATAGAGAGAAACTTTGAGGACAATTATAGAATCATACAAGAAAAGCAACAAGCTAAGTCATATGTTATGCTACGATCATGACTATGAAAACTTACCCATTTAAGGCCTATTTTGAAATTAGGCCATCCAACTTTTCCTTAGTGCCAAAACTTTAATTTTTTTTCTTTAATTTTTTTTTTCCTTTTTAGCGCAGGGGTTGTTGGTTGATTCCACTTTTCACTCGAGATTTAAAGAAAATACAGCCACCCTCAAAGTTTTAGAATAACTACAATGGCTTTCTTTTTGGTAAGAGAAAAGATTGTAAAATACAAAAATAAATAAAATAAAATATATATTTAAATATTAAGAAAATGAGATTTTCCAACGATGAATTTCCAACGGAAAAAATACCAAGTGCTATGTCAATCAAAAGCTCACGCAAGCTCAATGTAATTATGTCATACTTACAAAACTTACAGTATTTTCTTAAATTTTAGGGTTGGTCAATGTAATTTACCTTTTTTTTCTTTTCTTCCTCTTATCAGTTTTGCAGTCTAATTCAGCTTAAGATCTAATGAGCATAGCCAAAAAAATCTAGGAAATGACCCAGAATTTGAAATCCAAAATCGTTCACCACAACAAGAAGATTGAATCTCCACCTTAGATTGAAATTCTGAATTACATATAGTTTTTGTGTCTAAAATAATTTCAATAGGATGCAACGTGATATATATATATATATTAGTAAACCCAATCTGAAACACACACAAGACATCAGAGCAATTGGAGTCAACTACAAATACAAACTGAAAACCTTTTAAAAAAAATAATAAATTAAAGAAAATCAATAAATAAAGACCACTTCTAGTGTAGAAAACACTGAATACAAAGTTCCAAACAACCACAGATAAAAACCCTAACACAGAGGGAGAGAGAGAGAGAGAAAAGAAAACAAAAGAAAGGTTCAACTCAACTCAACCAAACATCACTCAAAAAAATAATGAAAAAAGGAAATTAACACAATCATAAGAATGTTAATGAAAGAAGAAAAAAAGACTTTGGTTCAAAAGCTCTGTAGAAAACCAAGAATCAAGTGAAATAAAGAGGTGGAGAAAGAAATCGGAAACGCATAGTAGAAGAAGAGAAAAGTATTTACCTTTTTTGTTTCTCATGAAGATAAGAAGAATTCCATGGTGTATCCATTGTATAGAGAGAGAGAGAGAGAGAGAGAGAGAGATGGTGATGCTGGTAGTACAATAATTTGCAATTCTAAGGGCGGCCTAGAAACTTGGAGAAAGATCATGATTGACTTAATACGAAGCCCCAAAAACCAATTTTCACACCTTTTGCATTTCATACCCCTCAATTTATCCATTTAAATAGTTGTGAATTTCAATTCAACGAATTTAAAATTAAATGGATTGAAAAATAATTAAATAAGATAAGTTGAGATGGATGATGATGATGATATATATATATATATATATAGTGGATAATGTTATATATATTAATTGATGTATTAATTAGTATATTAACAGATTATGTAACATAATTTTAGAAGTTTAGGATATTTGTAATTTGTATAATAGGTGGGGTCAGTAATAATGACATAACACTAATTGATACACTTAGTGTGTATATTAATTAATGCATGTTGTACCACTCATATATATTTCAGTAGGATCTTTATAACTAAAAAGTGGATCTTTAGAACATTATTATTCATAGGGTTAGGGTTGCAAATGAGTTGAATTGAACCGATTCGAGTTTTAATATATTTGGGTTTATTTATTAAAATTTTAATGAGTTCGAACTCGAACTTGATTTTAATGACAATTTAACGAACCGAACTCGAACAATTGGTTTAAGCTTGACTCGAATTTGAACATGTTCACTAGTCTTAACGAGATAATAATAAATTATAAATTCATATTTGCATATGAAACTAAAATTAAAATTAAAATTTTAATTTTACAATTATATATACAATAAAAAAAAGTTAACTCCGTACCAAAATAATGATATATACTACTATTATTATATAAATGTATTATCTATAGTTAATTAATTTTTTTTTTAGGTACATCGGAAATAATAGTTAGCTATTATGTACATATAAATAAATTTAGCTATTACTTACATTTATATTATTTAAATATATAAATAACATATTTATGTTATTTTTTGTACATATTTTTATATTATTTAATATATAAATATTTGTAATTTGTATAATAGGTGGGTCAGTAATAATGACATAACACTAATTGATACACTAGTGTGTATATTAATTAATGCATGTTGTACCACTGATATATATTTCAGTAGGATCTTTATAACTAAAAAATGGATCTTTAGAACATTATTATTCATAGGGTTAGGGTTGCAAATGAGTTGAATTAAACCGATTCGAGTTTTAATATATTTGGGTTTATTTATTAAAATTTTAATGAGTTCGAACTTGAACTTGATTTTAATGAAAATTTAACGAACCGAACTCGAACAATTGATTTAAGCTTGACTCGAATTTGAACATGTTCACTAGTCTTAACGAGATAAATAAATTATAAATTCATATTTGCGTATGAAACTAAAGTTAAAATTAAAATTTTAATTTTACAATTATATATACAATAAAAAAAAGTTAACTCCGTACCAAAATAATGATATATACTACTATTATTATATAAATGTATTATCTATAGTTAATTAATTTTTTTTTTAGGTACATCGGAAATAATAGTTAGCTATTATGTACATATAAATAAATTTAGCTATTACTTACATTTATATTATTTAAATATATAAATAACATATTTATGTTATTTTTTGTACATATTTTTATATTATTTAATATATAAATAATATATTTATTCTATTTATTAAATAAATATTAAACGAGATAATTAACGAGTCGAACTAATGAACCGAATTTTAACATGTTTGAACTTATTTATTAAGATTTTAAAGAATTCGAACGAGTTTTTATCCAGTTGAACTCGAGTTTGTTCACAACTACTATTCATTTGTAACCCTACTATTGAAAGGGACACATTAGACTGTTTTAGTTATTTTGCCTAATCTTGCCATAAAATAGACCTCTATCAAGATAGGCATCACTGTAAGTATTTTGATTCATCTTTTGTTACTAACTATATTTACAGACTAAGCAAACCATTGATTATGGGGCCAACAATCACCTTATGGACTCGCTGCCATGTATGGTTATGGTATCAATGCTTGACAATCTATCCCGTTGGTATTTATGGCGTAGCCCCTCATGCTCATCTACCACTTAGTGAGGCCGACTTTGCGCTACCAAGCATATAAGAAAATAAATTTGTGCTTTCGCCACTACTTATGAATTTTGATGAGATGATAAACGTTTGATCCTAATAATAAATAATATAATCGTTTGGAGGGTTGTCCTTTCTTTTTTATTTTTATTGTTGATTTGTGTAATGTTTTTTACCAATAATAGAATGGAGTGGAACGGCTATATTTTTGGGGAAAGAAACAGCAACCCTCTAAATGGTTACATTATTTATTGTTAGGATCAAACGTTTATTATATCAAAACTCATAAATAATGATAAAGGCGTAACTTTATTTTCCTATATGCTTGACAACATAAAGCCCCGCTCTAAGTGATGGGTGGGCATCGGGGTTGTGCCATAAATGCCAACGGAATGGACTGCCCATACCTGACAGCAAGTCCATAAAATGATCATTGACCCCATAACCAAGACAAACCAATTTCAAGATTGAAAAATATTGTTGGAGTATACACTACACAAAATAATTATGCAAAATACAATATATATATATATATATTGTACATTCCACAGATTATTTTTCTACATTCCACAGATCAACATATTCTTCAAAATAATTTTATATGATGTTAAATTATAACATGGTTAATTAAATGAGTTTGATAGTATATTTAATGATTAAATTATTACTTTTAAATTTATTTTACAATTAAATTTATATTGAAACTAAACCTATATAAATAAAATTTAGGAGAAATTAAAAACAAAAAAACAAGGTTTGACCCTTGAATTAAAATAAATTATAATTTTTATTTTGTCAATTTAAACTCTAATTTTTTTTTTTCAATCTAAACCATTCACCTATTTCCATTAAATAAATCAATAAAAAAATAGATATTAAACTTAATATAAGTGTAAATAAAATGTCTAAAAAATTTTTTTTTGTTGAGTTTAATAACTAAAATATCATTTTTTTATTAGTTTTACTAAATGAAAATAGGCAGAGAATTTATATTGAAAATAAATCAAAAGATTACAGCTTAAATTTATTAAAATTAAAAAAATAATATTTATTTTGTTATAAGAATCAAATTCGAAGGTTTATTTTATAAATTTTCTGAAAATTTATCTTAAAAAGTTGAATAGAGGGTATGTTTATGTAACCTAAAAAATATAACTTATGTATGACAATTACATAACATAGTAAAATAATAAAGGAATTAAATTTTTTTTTTTTTAAAAAAAAAAAAAAGGGATTACAGTTGGATGGAGTTAAAAAAAGAGAGTACAAATTAAGTTTATTTAAGGGTAAATTAAATTGTTAGTCTTTGTATTTTGTCTTTTATGTTATTTTGGTCCTTATAATTTTAATTAGATTATTTTTTTACTTTATCTTAAATTGATCAAATTGATTTTAATTGTTAACATTTGTTTGTGGCAAATGTACAACTAAGTGGCATGTGTGATGTATTTTGGACTAAAATTATAAATTTGATCAATTTAATGACTTTACCTTAACCAATTCAACGAAATTTTTCTGTCAAAAGTCCCAACGACATTATCAATTGGAGTAGATTGATGCAAAATCATTGATCAAAAAAGAATTGATGAAAAATCTAAAATTAACTGTCAAAATTGAGCCTATTGAAATTATAGGAACTAAAATGACATAAACGACAAAATATAGGAACTGCTAGTATAATTTTCTCTTTATTTAATGTGTAGTTTTTTTTTCACTATATATTTTTTATGCTACAAGAATGCAAACTCAATGTTTGAACTATTTCTAACTTGTAAGTCTCCACCTATTTGTATTGATTTAGAGAGAGAAAGAGAGGCGCAAAAATGATGGTTGATCTACTACAGGTGTTGATTTCTGACCTTATAACCAAACAGATCTCTCTGTCAAGATCTAGATAACTTAGCTGGAGAGCACACAGAAGAATAGATTAAGTCAAACATCTGAATACAAGAAGATAAGAAATACCGCAGTGGCTTATCCACCCGAGGACACTCTAACGATCAAGTCAGTAAATTATCTCTCAAAAATATCAAACAAGTGAACAATTCACAAGAAAAAGCATATCTCAGACCCAAATGGGTGCGTTATTTTTATAGTCACCAGTGCCCTCATCCTTTATAAGTCTCACTTCATAGGACTTAAGCGTAGCATTTATCTCAGACTCTTAGTTAGATAAGAATGATCCCATTAAAGAGCCTTATCTCTATCCGAACTAAGCGCCTCAACGTATTTAGGACTTTTGTTCTCTATCTGAATATCTCGGATTTTGATAATACCACACCATATATCAACAATATCACAACAATCTCTGCAACATGGCTAGTCAACGTGGCATCTCAGCTAATCATCTCGGCCACCTGGACAACCCTAAAAAATATGTCCCCACAACTGCCCTAGGTTTCTATTACCTCGGTAACCTGAGGTAATGAAACCTATATCGTCTGATCTTCTAACATGTTGACTAAACAACAGGCTAGAGATACTCCTCTAACTGAGATCATGACTTGTCGTTATCAAGAAATAAGGACTCAAGTGTCCAGTTATCAAGGATCAAGAACTAACATGTCTCGTGTTACCCAAATTCAACATCTCCACCGAGATCACATTGCTTACCGGGATTAAGACACACTATGTCAAGAATTCCAAGAATCCAAGATGCGTGTGAGCTGTCACACCATAACTGCCTCAACCATTTCCCCACGTGTCATCACCAAATTGGAGCATACCCTCTACACGACAAACGCGTCGTTTCACATCTATGTCACGTCAATTCTATCCCACGCCGCTTGACGTCAGCATGGACACGTCTCTCTAGGCGGTTAAATCATTGCCTTTGTTGCCCTTTCGAATTCTATCAAAAGTTTTTCTCACTTTTTTCATCTCTTTATTCGGTAATCACAACTCTCTCATACTCACTCTCTCTAAATCGCCATTGACATCCGTTCGAGCTTTCTGCAACTGCTCCTATTTATCATCTCTAGGGACCAAACCACCATTCTGTTCCGATCAACTGAGGCATCTCATCTTGGCGAACCAAATTCCGGCATTCGTTTCTCTGATTTCATTTTGTAAGTTTT